GCAGCTGCCAACACGGCCCAGGACGTTGATCTGATGTACTACATTGGGAAGAAGATGATGCGACATCAGACGCGCTCAATCTACTGGGCTGCGAGGCACATCACTGGCCTGGAGAACAGCAACAGCGCCTACCTGTACGATCGGCTGACGATGCGACCGCTGGTAGCGCGGATGACGCGCGACATCTACGCCCACCGTAGCTCAAAGTGGGCAGCCATGACCATGCAAATGATGAGCCCAGCTGAGAGGGCGTTTATGGAGAACGACGAAACGACAGAACGACAATGTCAATAACTGGTCCTCCTCCTCCTCCTTTTGGCGCTTGTCAATATGGACCAAAATATTAAAATAGTAGACTCCAACATTAAATTTGGATTTCCTCTTGCTCATACAAGCTGGATGAATGATCTTGAAAAGGGGGTTGAAATAGGCCAGTCGGTTGGTGGTGGTGGTGGTGGGTGGGAGTTACTGCCAAGTACTTGGGAAGGATGAACTGAAGATTAACAAAATACGCGGATTTCCTAAAGTCCACGGGACCAGCATTTCACTGTAAACCATTGCCTCTTTGAGCGGTACATCAAACCACAAGATTCAGTGGTGCCTAGTTCGCTAATCACTTAAGAACGCTGAAGTTTCAACTGAAGACTCGGTGAAATTCCAAAACAAGATACAAAACTTACAAACTGCAAATGAGGAGATAGTGGTAGATTAAAAGTTACCTCTCTGTTCCCATCTAGTCCTCAGACTTGCCGCAAACTCCCACAGGTCTACATTTCCGAATGCTCTACTTGAACTTTTCCAATAATTAACCCTTTTACCGGAACCGGTAATGCAGAAATCAGAAGTCAAGTCTCCTATCGCATTTAGCCAAAAATTTTGCTTATCTTTACACACGCTACATTTGTTATCAGTTAAAGAGATCAACTAGAATTAATCTACAACAACATGAACTCCATTTTTTCAGGAATTCAATTAGCCTTCGAAACAAACGTTGAGCGACAACTCTTAGTCCTATATGCCCCGTACATGGGAGGACAGAGGGAACACCGCAAACGTTAGTCTATGGTAACTTTAAAGGCTTCGAGGTCATCTCATATTTTAGGAAGAGCAATTCTATCTACCACAAATACCCCTGTCTTAACAGTTTGCTAATTCGAGCTAAAACCCACTTTTCCAAAGGAATTTATCGAACGAAGAATAAACACCCTTTCAAGTTACTTCTACAGAATGGATATCCCCCGACTTTGCCCGTCGGTGCATGCGATGACAGAAGGTCGCGTAGAAAGGTACGTTCTGAGCTGCGACCTAGTAGACGCCAAAACTGACTGGCTGGCAAAGTCTAATTTTAGGGAAGAATGCATCTGAATTGGCATAAAGGCTACTGAAAGAAAAATAGCACCTGTCGATAGTACACAAACCTACAACTACTTAACAGGCCCAACTTGTGCATCCTAATGTCAGACTTGACTAGGTCAATACAAAAAAATGGTTCAAAAAATACTATGCACCAGTTGTGGGCAGGAGTTTCCTTGGTAGTGGCGGAATAAAACTTCACATTTCAAGCTGTGTCGACAGCGATTCGAGCTCGATTCGGGTTAAGGGTTAGGATTAGGGTTAT